ATTTATTTATTTATTTATTTATTTATTTATTTATTTATTTATTTATTATCTTTTGTGTCTGGGTGTTTTGCCTGCATGTGTGTCTGTGCGCCATGTTCCTGCAATTCCAGTGGAGTCTGGAAGAGAATGTTAGATCCACTGGAAATGGATTTATTGTGTAAGCAGCTATGTGGGTTCTAAGAATTGAACCTGGGTCCTCTGTAAGAGCAGTCAGTACCCTTAAATGCTGAGCCATCTCCCCAGCCACTTAACTTTATGACTTTTAAGTTTCAAAGAGCTGAAAAAATTGTGTCTCCAATTTTGGATTATTGTCCTAAGCAGCTGCTATATTGCCCTTTGCAGATCTTTGCCCTGTGAATGTGATAATAAAGTAGCAGTAGTCATACTTCCTATTATCATTATTATTCTAATAATTAAGACAAAATATCCTATGCTGGTCCTGAATTTGTTGTATTTTTTCTTTAGCCTTCCAAGTACCGAAGGATTACAGACATGCACTACTACATCCAAGTGGCATTAAAAAATTACTTTTAAATGTCTATTTATGTGTGTGTATGTGAGAGAGAGAGAGACAGACAGACAGACAGAGACCAAGAGAGAGAGAGAGAAACAGAGACAGAGAGGAAGAGAGAGAACGTGCGTTGGGTGCCTGTGGCAATCAGAAGAGAGCATCAGATCCCCGGGTGTGTGAGCTACAAGTAGTTGTGAGCTGTTTGTGTGGGTGCTGGGAACCGGAGGAACTCAGGTCCCTTGTGAGAGCAGAAGTTCTCTTAACCACTGAGCCATCTCTCCAGCTTTGTGTATGTATAGTGTTCAAACAGTAAACAATTTTACTTTGTGGGCCACACAGTCTGTTTTGTAAATATACTACGGTTCCTCTTGTAGCATGAAAGCAGTTGTAAGCCACAGGCAAAATGTGGCTCTGTTCCAATAAAACTTTATGGACAGGGTAGATTGTTGGCCTGCAGGTGCTAATTTTCTGACTTTTGCTCTATCGGGTGGAGCACGTCCTCTCTTTCTCTTCTTTCTTTCCATTAGCTGGTGTTATTGTTGAATATTTCCATTTCCTTCAAAAATTTACATTGAAACTAAATCCTTTAAGCAACAATATTGGGGCGTGTTCATTAGATCAGGATTAATTGAGGCAACTTGGAAATGAAAGAGAAGCAGGATTGCAGAACCTCAACAGAAGCAGAATTGTCCTTCAGTCAAGAGCAAATGAAGGGCAGCAGTCTCAGTGGGAAGGGAGCCTGCACACCCATGGTTGGAAAGGGTGAAAAGGGAACTTTTGGGAAGGAAAGGTTTACCAAGAGTCAATAGATGTGGTTTTTTCTTTGTTTGTTTGTTTTTAAAAATGGTTTCAAGGCCCAATAATGCCAGCGGATGTTCTCATTACTATGCTGACTTCCTTGATAGGAGTTATGCTGGGCAGAGAGTTTATGCACTAGTTTGAGGTTCATTGTTTTAAGTCACTAACTGTTCTGTATGACTTTGGGAGATGATTGCACCAGAGGGATCCATCCTCAAGATGCCTTTGTAAAGGGGTTTGTAGCAGGGAGACCCTTTCCTGTCGTTCTATCATATGAGGATATGGAATTCCTTCTTTAGATAATGCCACATTAAAGTGTCGTCTTGGTAGTAAGGAACAGTTCTGCACCCCAAGAAGCAGGCCTGCGCTTTAAGATTTCAGTCAGGCGCCCCGCGGTTGCCCGGTTGCCCTGGAGACGGGGTCCTTTCTGGCGGGGCCCGGCCATCTTGTGGGGCTGTCGTCCAATCAGTGGTTGCTCCGTGGCGAGGGGGCGGGGCGCTGGTCGCCGGCGCTCTGCTCGCGATCATGGAGGCGCCGGTCGGCTTGCTGTTGCTGCTGTGGCTCGGGGCTTTGGTCCCGGCTCCAGGCAGCGCCTCTTCGGAGGCTCCGCCGCTGGTCAACGAAGATGTGAAGCGCACGGTGGACCTGAGCAGCCACCTGGCCAAGGTGACGGCTGAGGTGGTCCTGGCGCACCCGGGCGGCGGCTCCACGTCTCGAGCCAGCTCGTTCGTCCTGGCCCTGGAGCCGGAACTCGAGTCGCGCCTGGCGCACCTCGGCGTGCAGGTGAGCGGAGAGTGGGCCGGGCTGCAGCTCACGGGCTTCCTGGAGCGCCGGGGATCCCTGCGGATGCCGGGGTGGGTGGGCGGGGAAGTTGAGGGTTGTCTGAAAGGCTAGTGTGGAGGGGACAGCCGAGAGGTCGGGGTCCGCCGCCCTTCTCGTCCGCGCGTCCACGTCAGCACAAGCTTCGGAGCGGCGGGCGCCGCCCACGTGGCAGCTCCGGAGACCGAGGCGACCCCTTGGTCCCCCGACGACCACCTTCCACACCACGGGAACGTCTTGGCTGTGGCCAGGTGCGGTGCTTCGGGCGCCTAACTTTTCCCCCTGTCCCCTGGACGTCCTCGTCCAGCGAAGGACCATCAGTGAGCTAAATCGAAATTCCTGAATGCAGTTGTCTGTCTGATGTAGTCTGTTCTCTCTAGCCAGCGGCATTCGGAAATACGACAGGTTTCTGGTATCTGAGTTTGTCCTTAATCACACCGGATTGATGCCACGCACCTCTAAAGCTGCTGCTGTACACTTTGCTAATGTTCACACTTGAAAATCCCCTGTGCTGTACAGAAAGGTGAAGCCCGCGTCTCTTCCTCCACGCACCGCCTCTGTTGGAACACCACAGCGTTAGCTTCCTGTACCTTTCAGTGAACACACTTTTATGGCTTTCAAGGAAAGCCATCGTGGACTCTGGGAGTAGAGGGACTATCCACACAGGTTGCTTTTTATTGCTGTTTCCATTAAACTGTATTCATTAAGTGATTACCGACTTTATTAGGAGGAGACTAGTAATTACAGTATCACATTCCTAAGCACACCACATTCTCTTGACTGTAATGGAGCTATAATAAAGCAGGGTACATTGTCACTGGAGGGACTCCTGGCCCCTTCACACTGAAGCCTTGTACGCGCTGAAGCACAGCTTTGCTCTTCTGTTTCTGGAAAGACATTCATGACTTCTTTCAACTTACAGTGCCTCTTGTGAGTGTTTTGAATGTTCAGCCCAAGTTCGTGAAAGCCAGTCACGACTTCATGAGATCACAGTATACATAATCATAGCCGTCGAGGTGGAGAAGACACTCAAGTTGGGCCACTCCACGTGGCTCAGTAGTCAAGAGCACAGGGCATCCAAATGTAATTCCAAGCACCTACACGATAACTCATAGCCATCTGTAACTCCAGTTCCAGGGTGCACAGACATACATGGAAGCAAAAAACCCATACACATTAAAAAGGAAGGAAAAGAGAAGGTTGCATCAGATATTTTAAGTGCTTTCTCTGTTGCAACAACTTTTTGAGGTATAGGTGTTACTACATGGCTGTGGAAGCATCTGCCTTGGAGCTGTTAACCCCACAAATGAAGGTTTATAATTTGTTCCATGCCCTGTATGTTCCTGCATTTTTAACTACTTGCTTTCTGGCCGTGATATGAGACTAGTTCTGATATTTTGGTTTATTCACAGAGGTGTTAATTCTGGAGGGAGGCCAGTTGTATATGTGAATTGCATTATACTCCTACCTTGTAAGACACAGGGACACCAAATGTGAGAAAGAGCACATACTGCGTTGGGGACGTGGATGAGGTTGGATGGATTACGGGAACCCTTTTAGGAACTGGTAGAAGGACAATACTGATTATGTGGTTTGAGCCATCACTATTATTATTATTATTATTATTTATTATTATTTGAGACACGTTCTATAGCCCCAAGAACTTGAAATCATGTTGCAGCCTCTAGAATGCTGATGGCTAAAAATGACTTTGAACTTCAAATCATCTTGCTACTTTTTCCCATGTACCGGGACTACAGTTTTGTAACACCATGCCTGGTTCTCTCTTACTTTTTACTAAGTCATCAATATTTTTCATGAATATCAGTAAGCTATGCATTAACAAAGAGTTCTGAATAAGCAAACTTTTTGGACTTTCTGAAATACTAAAAACGATATTTAAGAAATTGCTTTTGGAGTTGGGAGATGGTGATGATGGCTCAGACAATCCCAGCAGTTGGCGGAAGTTCTTTTAGTTCAAGGTCATCCTAAAGGGAGTGTGAGGCTAGCTTAGGCTCTGAGACTGACTTCCTATGGAAATGGTGTGTGGTGCAATGGTAGAGCACACGCCTAACTGTGCAGGCCACGAGTGCAAGACTCAGCACAGCACAGCGCAGAAAAGTCTTCTTCATAGCTTTCTGCTCTCTTGGGAATTACTGCTTCAGTCCTAGAATTTTTTATTTATTTTTTCTGTGGGGATTAGGTTAGTCTGACTAAGGGGTAGTGGAGTGTATGCATGTTTTCCACATAGACTGCCACAGTCTATGACTCCAGATAACACCTCAGGAAGCCTCAGCAGCCTTCTAGAGTTAACCTGGTTACATGTCTGGTGCCGTTAAGGATAAGAGTACAGCATGTCTCAAAGCGGCCCCTAGGGCTCCTTTGTCACTTCTGCCACTCTGTGGGGTCAGAAGTTTTGGTCACAGATGGGACTGTTGTTTCCTTTTATTTGTACTCACAGTTACTTTGATATGAAAAAGAAAATGTCCAGAAGGAAGTCTTTGGAACATTTGGGAAGTAAACATGGAGATAAGGTCTTTATGTGTGTTTGATTGTTTAGGAAAATGTTTATAGAACTATCCTGTGCACCAGTGACTCTTCTGTGATGTTTCAGGCTAAATCTCATGGTTTCAGATAAAAAATAATGTTGGATTGAAATATGGCTCACTGGTAGAGGTATTCGCCTGGCCCTGACTTCAATCATCAGCACTACAAACAGAATTTCTAGGCCAGTGAGAAGGTTCAGGGGGTAAAGGCCCTCATGGTGCAAGTCTGATTGATGATTGGAGTTTGAGTCCCTTATAAAAAGCCTGGTGCAGTGGTCCACATCTGTAGTATCAAAAGCCTGGTGCAGTGGTCCACATTTGTAGTATCAGCACTGATGCCTTCAGATGGGAAACGGAAACAGAGATAGAAGAATCACCTGGAAGCTTGCAGGGCAGTAAGCGTGGTGTACCCACCATGGCAGAAACAGCAGGAGAGATCCTGCCTCGGTCTCCACACATGGGCACGCTCCCCCTCCTTATCCCCCCCCCACAACACACACACACACAAAGCTTTGAAAAGTTACTTTAATGTAAATATTGTAAAGAAGTTGGTGTATTAGTTTCCTTTCTATTGCTATGATATAACATCAAAACCAAAGCAACTTATGGAAAGAAGGATTTGCTTCTTCGGCACTTGTAGTTTCAGAGGGTTAGAGCAGAGGTGGCAGGTGACAAGTAGTTGGGAGCAGCAGCGAGAATTCACATTTTGATCCACAAGCAGGAGGCATAGAGCACACTGGGAATGGCTGGAGTATTTTTGAAACCTCTTAGCCCACCCCCCAGTGACACACATCCTCTCAGAAGGGTGTCTTAGTTGGGGTTTCTATTGCTGTAAAGAGACACCGTGACCATGCAACTGTTATAAAGGAAAACATTGGGGCTGACTTACAGTTTCAGAAGTTTAATCTATTATTATCATGGTGGGACATAGTGGCATACAGGGAGACATAGTGCTGAAGAAGGAGCTGAGAGTTCTACGTCTTGATCTGCAGGCAGCAGGAGACTGTGGTACCCTGGGCACAGCTTGAGCATAAAAGACCTCAAAGCTGGCTTCCATAGTGACACACTCCCTCCAACAAGATGACACCTCCTAATTTTGCCACTCCCTATGGGCCAAGCTCTCAAGCACATGAGTCTCTGGGGACCATACCTATTCAAACCTCCACAGAAGGCAAACCTGAACCTTTCACCTACTGGGAGCCAAGTATTTAAGCATGAGCCTTTGCAGGGCATTCTCATTTAAACCATAATTGTTAATAGTTGGTTTAAAATTTAGAACTTGAAAATATAAGAAAGAATAAACTACTCTTTTTCTGTTATAGGTAAAGGGAGAAGATGAGGAAGACAGTAACCTAGAAGTACGGGAAACCAAAATGAAGGGGAAAAGGTAAGCAGACAGACTGAAAGGCGTTTCTAAGGTGGTTAACCATATAGTTGGAATAGGTAGGGTAGGTAGAGACATCAGAAAATCCCCTAGTTGTCTAGCTTAGAGTTGGCTGCATGGCAGTGCTATTAACAGAGGAGGGGATCTGCTGGGAATGGTACTGGTGTTTTGAATTGACTGGACCATCAGCATAACTAACAAGGCAACGTGAACACTGCTTACTCAGAACCAGTCATGAAAAGAGAAGCAGATCTAATACTTGAAGCCAGGCTTGAAGTGTTGTCTTAGTTGTGAACTTTTTAAAGCAATATGATGTACAATGCCGTGAGTTCTCAATTAAGTCATCCACATTCTAATCATTAATGATGAATTACATGGGAACATGTTTAAAAACCTTCAAGTTTTTACTAATGACATACTGGGTCTAACAGAAATTCATTTCTTGGCTTAGGAAATTGAGATTCACTAGTTTACAGGCAGTGTCTCCTTGTTCACTTGTATGCATGCCGCAGCTGGACATGCACATGAGAGGACAGCTTGCAGTAGTGCTTCTCTCTCCATGTGAGTCTTGGGGCTTGAACTCAGGTAGTCAGACTTGACTGCAGGCCCTTTTATTCACTGATTCATCCCTCTGCCCCTAAGCATTTTTTAAAGAAAATGTTTTTGTTTGTTTTTTGAGATAGGGTCACTTTAAAATAATTAGTTGACTTTGTGTGTGGGGGGGAGCGTTTTTCTTTCATATATGTGTGCACCACTTGCATGCAGTACCCTCGGAGGCCAGAGAAGATGACATATCCCCTTGGAACTAGAGTTAGAGTAGTGAACTGCTGTGTGTTTGCTGGGAACCAAATCTGACTCCTCTGAAAGATCAGCCAGTGCTCATACTGTTGAACCATCTCTCTGGTCACCCATTTTCCTGAGTCAGTCTCACTAGCTCCAGCTGATCTTAAACTCCCTCTGTCACTAAGGATGGCCTCGAATTCTTGTTCTTTCTGCCTTCATCTTTCAAGTGTTGGGATTAGAGGTCTGTCACTTGACCTGTCTCTGGTAGTTTTTATGTTTTTATTATCATAAACAAACCTGGGATAAACATCTGGACATCCATCTTTAAAGGCTTAAGTTAATATATTAAAGGTGATATCTTTTATCTTGGATGTAGAATTTACTGTGACTTTGAAATACTAGCTGATTTCAGTATCTTTAGTTTTCTCTCTTTTTGTAGAGCTTGCTATGTAGATTAGACTGGCTGAGAAGTCACAGAGATCCACTTTCCTCTGCCTCCTAAGTGCTAGGGAAAAAAGGTGTGTGCCACCATGCCTGGGCCAGTGTCTTTAATTTTAATTCTCTCGCTTTCTTCCTTCAGTGGGAGATTTTTCACGGTCAAGCTTCCAGTTGCTCTTGATCCTGGGTCCAAGATCTTGGTTGTTGTGGAAACTGTCTACACCCACGTGCTTCATCCATATCCGACTCAGATAACTCAGTCAGAGAAACAGTTTGTGGTATTTGAGGGCAACCATTATTTCTATTCTCCCTATCCAACAAAGACCCAAACCATGAGAGTGAAACTTGCCTCCCGAAATGTAGAAAGCTACACCAAGTTGGGGAACCCCACACGATCTGAAGACGTCTTGGATTATGGACCTTTCAAAGACATCCCTGCCTACAGTCAGGTAGGTTCCAGAGACTGCCAGGCTTGGATGGTATGTGCCAGGTGGCATTCAGAAAATGTTTGGAACCTATCTTGAATTAACTCTTAGTCCCATTAACTTCCTCTTGAGAACTGAGTTCAGAGGCTGGAAAGTGGGCATCATGGGAGAAGGCAATGAGATATTCTGGGCAGGGTAGTGATGGACAAGGAGAGAAGCTGGGGTGGCTGTGGTAGTAAACAGAACCAGAGGCTAAAGGCCTTGGAATTGGTACTTTGGGAGAGAAAGCAATTAATTCATGATAAAAATTTTGTTGTGGGGCAAGGTCCCAGCACTCAGGAGAATATCTTGAATTCAAGGCTAGCCTTGTTTACATAAAGTTCCAGGTTAGCCAGTGATACACAGTAAGACCCAGTGTCAAAAAAGAAAACAACAAACAATTTACTGGGCAGGTAAAAGCACTGACTGCTCTTCTAGAGGTCATGACCTTCTTCCAGACCCATGTGGTGGCTCCCAGCTGTCTATAACTAGTCTTGGGATCTAATGCCCTTTTCTTGCCAAGTTGAGGATTGTACTCAGAACTTCACACATGATAGGTAAGACTCTCCCACTGAGCTCCAGCACTGGCTCCCTGGAATTCATTCTAGTCTTGCTTTTTTTGTAGCACAGGCTATTGCTTCAGCCTCTGGAGTACAGGGAGTATAGGTGTGCAGTACCATGCTTGACTAGAGATAATGAGATTAATGTAGAGATCATGTTATATATAGTATTGCCTAATTCTTTTTTTTTAGAAAGAAATATTTTTTAATTAATTTGTTTATTTAAAATTTCCACATCCTCTCCACCTCCCATTTCCCTCCCCCTCCCCCCTCCTCCTCTCTCTCCAGTCCTAAGAGCAGTCAGGGTTCCCTGCCCCGTGGGAAGTCTAAGATCCTCCCACCTCCATCCAGGTGTATTGCCTAATTCTCATGCTTAATAACTGTATTGTACACTTTTTTTTGGTAGCCATTTCTCTGATTTTTGCCTTGGATTATTTGCCAGCTTGTTATAAACGAATGGCTAGTCTTTTGTTTTCTTTTGCCTTTTTCCTACTTATGAGCATAATGTACATTTCTCTGCATGTTTCTCAGCAATAGCTTTTGGGGGAGGGGGCAGACAGGGTTACATGTAGCCTAGGGAACTGGCTGTGTAGCTGAGGATCACTCAAAATCCTGATTCTGCTTTTACTTTCCAAGTCCTGGGATATAGGTGTGCACCTCTGTGCCTGGGTCAGAAATAGTACATGTATTATGTTTTTAAGATTTGTTTGTTTGTTTGTTTGTTTGTTTGTTTTAGTCTGGCAGTGGTAGCACATGCCTTTAATCTCAGCACTTGGGAGGCAGAGGTAGGTGGATTTCTGAGTTTGAGGCTAGCCTGGTCTACAGAGTGGTGAGTTCTAGGACAGCCAGGGCTACACAGAGAAACCCTGTCTTGAATAATCAAAAGAAGAAAAAAAAAGATTTTTTTAAAAAAAAATTGTATATTGGGGGATGGGTGTGTGCACAACATACATACAGATGACCCTGGAGGCTAAAGGAGTCAGATCCCTGGAGTTAGAGTTACGGGTGGTTGTGAACTGCCGACCACTGGAGGGAGGGCTCTTTAACTGTTGGCCTCTCTTTAGCTCTGGAAATAGAGTCTCTAAAGTAAAAAAAAAAAAAAAAAAATGCAAATCAAAACATGAAATTTAAAAAAAATATTTTTTGACACTGTGCCTTGGCTGCCCTTGAAAATTATGGCAGTCTTGCCTCAATCTCCCTAAACAGATGGTATTGCAGTTGTGAGCAGCCATTCCCCAGCTCAAACAAACATTTTTTTTTCTTTTGGTTTTTTTAAGGCAGGGTTTCTCAGTAGCTGTGGAGCCAATTCTGGAACTTGTTCTTTAGACCAGTCTGGTCTCAAACTCACAGAAATCTGCCTGCCTCTGCCTTCTGAGTGCTGGGATTGAAGGTGTACACCGCAACCGCCTGGCTCAAACAAACATTTTTAAGCTAGAAATGATGGCAATTGCTTGTAAAACCAACACTCAGGAGGCAGAGATACCAGGATTGTTTGAGGCCAGCCAGGCTTCATATTCTTTGTTTCAAAACAGAACAAACACAATGAGCATTTTAAGAATGAAAGTAAGTTCTTGTGTGTCTGTATGTGTGTGTATTTAAGTCTGAGTCTGCTCACAAGTGTGTGCATTTGGAGTTGAATCCAGGGTCTTAGGCATGCTAAGGATGTGCTCTATCAGTGAGCTCTACCTATGATTCCTGCAGCATGGTGCTGCCATCCTTATAGTATTGACACTGTGATGTGGGATTCCCCTCTGTATGGTGTGAATACCATTGGTTAATAAAGAAACTGCTTTGGGTCTATTGCAGTGCAGAAAAGGGCAAGGCAGGAATTCCAAGCAGATTAACTGCTACAGGAGACAGATGCTGGACACCAGGCAGAACCTTACCGGTAGGCCCTAACCACATAGTGACACACAGATTAGTAGAAATGGGTTAATTTAAGATACAAAAAACTAAGCAATAAGAAACGTGAGCTAATAGGCCAAACAGTGTTGTAATAATACAGTTTCTGTGTGATTATTTCTATCTGGGCGGCCAGAAACGAATGAGCAATCTCTGCCAACAGCACTGCATGGTGTTCAGTAGGAGTCTGAATTGAATCTTAAAGGATGTGGTTAGAAAGTGAGAGAATAAGAGAATTTATAAAATTACAAGATGTGTTTGCTTATCTTCATGGACTTTGGAAAGAAGGGTTGTAGTGAGGAGCTGTGGGCAGGCCTGCTTTTAGTCCGGCCCGGCTCCCGCACGGCTAGCTTAGCCCGGAAATAACAACACACAAATTGTATTCACTGCCTGCCTGAAAGAGTCAGAGTGTGCCCTGGCAGGACGGCCCAGAAAGCCGGCATTTTAAAACGGCACAGCTTTTTTTCCTGCTACAGCTGACAGCTGAAGAGCGTGCGTTCAGCTTTTCATCAACACTGTTTAAGTGTTTCGTGGCAGGACCTTTTAAAAGAACTGCAAAGTTTTGCAGCTAAAGCTGAGTCAGGAAGCCTCTTTTAGGTGAGAGTGCTTGCTTGCCTCTAGCAAGCAGAGCAGACCCGAGAAATTGCTGCTACCAAGAAAACATGCTTTACTCTATTCTTTTCCAAGCTTTCTCAGGCTTTCTGTGGATGCAGTTATCCACGTGGGTGCCATCTGTAGTGAGGAGCTGTGGGCAGGCCTGCTTTTCGTCCCGCCCGGCTCCCGCACGGCTAGCTTAGTCCCAGAAATAACAACACACAAATTGTATTCATTTAAACACTACCTGACCCATTATTTCTAGAGAGTTAGTTACTAGCTAACTCTCACATCTTGATTAGCCCATTTCTAATAATATGTGTAGCTCCACGAGGTGGTGGCTTACCGGGAAAGATTCAGCATGTCTGACCTGGTGGCTGGCTCCATGGTGTCTGCCTCATTGCCCTCTTAGCATTCTGTTCTGTTTACTCCGCCTACCTAATTTTCTATCCTATCTAAGGGCCAAGGCAGTCTCTTTATTAACCAATGAAAATAACACATAGACAGAAGGCCAGCCTACATCAGAAGGTATTTTTCTAACATTTTAATTTTATATTGCCTTTCTGAGTTATGGGCAAGTTCATTAAAGGGCATTACTCAGTGACCAAAGAGACCCCCAAACCTACTCCCCATTGAATCTAGGACCTTCGTGTGTTGGGTAAGCACCCCGCCACTAACCCATATATATTCCCAACCCCAGAGAGTTTTTTAAAATTTGAGTGTGTGTATGTCTGTGTGAGTATATGTGAGATGTATGTTGGTGTGAGTGCCACAGCACATGTCTGGTGGCTGGAGGACAGCTTCTGGTAATCATTTCTCTTCTATCATTATATGGCTCCCAAGTGCAGCAGCAGATGCCCTTACTTGCTAAGCCACCTTGCTTTTCCTACCTGAGATTAAAATAAAGCTAACCTCTGGGGGAATTGACAGACAACTTGAAGAATTATGCAGACACTTGGACCCAGGATTTCCACTTGCTGCAGACCTAGTATTGTTGCTTATGTTTATCATCTAGGGCAAAGGTTGTGGAAACTGGGACTTCCAATCTATTTGTTTTTTAGGTTTTTTTTTAAATGATTTATTTAACTTTATTTTATGTGCATTGGTGTGAAGGTGTCAGTTCTCATGGAACTGCATTTTCAGACAGTTGTGAGCTGCCATGTGGGTGCTGGGAATTGAACCCCAGTCCTCTGGAAGAGCAGTCAGTGCTCCTAACCGCTGAGCCATCTCTCCAGCCCGTTTTTTAGGTTTTTTGAAACAGGGTTTCTCTGACTGTCCTGGAATTCCCTCTGTAGACCAGACTGGCCTCAAATTCAGAAATCTGCCTGCCTCTATCTCCAAGTGCTGGGATTAAAAGTGTGTGGCATCACACCTGGTCGTATATGGTTGGGCTTTCTTGAGGGACTTTTTTGAACTGCCAGCCCCGAAATAATGGCACAGAGACTTACTGTTAATTATGAAAGCCTACAGTTTAGGCTTGTTCCCAACTAGCTCTTATAACTTAATCTGTTTCTGTTAATCTACATTCTGCCACATGGCTTTTTATATCTCCTCCGTTCTGTACATTGACTTTCTCCATGTCTCTCTGGCATCTCCCATGCACCTATATTTATTCCGAGTTCCTCTCTCTCCCTGGAAGTCCTGCCTATTCTCTCCTGCCTAGCTATTGGCCATTCAGCTCTTTATTAAACCAACCATGTGCTTTAGGTAGGTAAGGCAAAACATAGACCCATCTTCCTGCAGTGTAAGCATCTTCCTGCTGCAGCCTTATTTTATTTTATTTTATTTTAAAGACAGGGTCTCTGTTTCCCAGGCTGGCCTTGGAACTCGTGGTGATTCTCTTGCCTCTGCTTGTTGAATATTGGGATTATGGGCATAAATGACCACTTTTTGAAAGTTTGAGAGCAAGTTTCTTTCTCAAAAACAAAACAAAAAAACCTTCTATAGTTAAAGCCTGGAGAGATAGATGCCTTAGTGGTTAAGACCACATGCTACTCTTCCAGAGGACCTGAGTTCTTGTCCTAGCACCTATATCTGGTTGCTTTAGGAGATCCAACACCTTCTGGCCTTAAAACCACTCCATATATATTGGTGCTTAGTAACCATTCTGTGGATGATGCATAGGCCCTCTGTAGTTATTTTTTTTGAAGATTTATTTATTATGTATATAGTGTTCTGTCTGCATGTATGCCTTCAGGCCAGAAAAGGGCACCAGATCTCATTACAGATGGTTGTGAGCCACCATGTGGTTGGTGGGAATTGAACTCAGAACTTCTGGAAGAGCAGTCGGTGCTCTTAACTCTCTCCAGCTCTAGTTAATTTCTTTTAAACTAATGTTGATTTCTCTGTTGCCAAGGTTATGAACTATTTGTTTACTTCCCTTGTAGGATACTTTTAAAGTACACTATGAAAACAACAGCCCTTTCCTGACCATCACCAGTATGACTCGGGTCATTGAGGTTTCTCACTGGGGTAATATTGCTGTGGAAGAGAATGTGGACTTAAAGCACACAGGCGCAGTGCTGAAGGGGCCTTTCTCCCGCTATGATTACCAGAGACAGCCCGACAGTGGTATTTCCTCCATCCGTTCTTTTAAGGTATGAGTAGCCAACTTGAACCTTGTGGGAACTGTATCTTTATCAGTCCTTTTTCTTGCTTTTCAGTTTTGGGGGATTAACTAATGGTGTTATTGAGTATCAATGTTAATCAGAAGTTTTGGGGATTAACTATGGTGATGTTAGTGTTAGTGTTAATCAAAAGGTTTGGGGGATCATTTATTGCTATTTATAATAAAATAATCCCACACTAGCCCAGAATGGAGTATAATAAAGGTTTGTTTAATAAGGGGTAAACTCACAGAAAGGGTAGCGATCTGCAGTCCTCTACGTTCACTAGGAACTGGAACCAAATTCAGCAGCCAAGAAGCCCATGCATGCTTTGCATCTGCATTTATAGTGCATGAGACTACACCTAGAGTAGGCCAGTATCTTAAAGTCTATTGGCTAAAGAAGTTCCCATAGCACTAATGGCGATATTGAGTATCAGTGTTATCAGAAGGATCTTTAAGGAGAATGTTCTTGTATTTATGTGAATAGCATCCTGTATTATAAATAGTGCTTTTTTTTTCTCTCTGTGAAGCGTGGGTTAGTCTGGAATGACCTGTGTAACTTAGACTAGCCTTGAACTCAAGATACCTTCTGCCTTGGCTCCTAAGTATTGGGATTATAGACATGTGCCATTGTGGCTGCCTGACCTTAAAGCAGTGGTTCTGAGCCTTCCTAACACTGCTGCCCTTTAACACAGTTCCTCATGTTGTGGTGACCCCAACCATAACATAATTTTTGTTACTACTTCATAACTTTAATTTTGGTACTGTTATGAATAGAAATGTGAATATCTGTGTTTTTTTGATGTTCTTAGGTACCCTCAAGTGGGTTGTTGGGGTTATGACCCACGGTTGAAAACCACTGCCCTAGACTATGATTGTTTTGTTTTTTAGAAAATTCGAATAAAGAAAATCATATTCATAGTACCACCACCACCTAAGCATTCCTTTATTTTACACATTTGTGTGTGTGTGTGTGTGTGTGTGTGCGCGCGCGCGCGCGTGCTGTGAGTGTATGAGCACCTGCCTGAAGAGACTAGAAAAGTGTTAGATATCTTGGAACTGGAGTTACGGGCATTTGTGAACTGCCTGACTTGGGTGCTGGGATCGATGCTGTGGTCCTCATGACTGAGGAGCAAGTGCCTTTTAACTGCGTGGCCTTCTTTCCACCCCTGCTGCTTGCTTTTTAAGACTGGATCTGGTGTAACCCAGACTGACCTCTATCTTGAAGATGGCCTTGAGCTCCTTGGTGCTTCCTTTTAAGTGCAGGGGTATACTACTATGTCTTAGGCTATTTTTGTTTTTATGAAGCAGAATTGAGGTTTATTAAGACTTGTAAGCTTACATTTAATAATAACTTGTGTGTGATGTGTATGTAGTACAGGTTTTAAATATGAAGGTAAGAGAATGAAAGAACCTCCCAGATGGGAAGACGACTGAGAAGTGTGGGTATGGGCTTCCTTCAGCATCATCATAAACCAATAAAAAATTAAGAGATTGAATGTGCCTATGTCTAGGTGAACTCTTAGAAATAGTTATATATGTTTACATATTACAAAAACGCTCACTCACTGTGTGAACAGTGAGTGTTGCGTTCTCCCTCGTCAGTACACTTGGAAGATGTGTAAGCACATTGGGTGAAAAACTGTAAACTAGGAATTTGATACAATTACTTATCTTTAATTTCCTTCTAACTTTAGTATGCACAAGGGTCCTTGCAAATATTTTATTTTGTTGAGAAGATTTTATCATTCATTGAGAAATAGATACGATGTCTAGATCTTCTGAAACCTTGGGAAAAGTTACTGTCTGGAGTCTGGTGTAGGCTTTATGCTTACTAGATCATATTTCTGCAGAGGTTCCTGAAGTTTCTAGAAGGCATTCTGCTTTCTTGCAGACCATCCTTCCTGCTGCTGCCCAGGATGTGTATTACCGCGATGAGATTGGTAATGTTTCCACCAGCCACCTCCTTATTTTGGATGACTCTGTGGAAATGGAAATCCGGCCTCGATTTCCTCTCTTTGGTGGGTGGAAGACACACTACATTGTTGGCTACAACCTCCCAAGCTATGAATACCTCTATAATCTGGGTGAGTGTTGAACACAGTAAGAATAGAATTGCAAAGGACCAACTTTTTCTTTTAAGTTCTTGTAGGTGTTTATTTAAGAAAAAAAATTTAAATCACCAATGCTTATATGTAAAGAGAGTATTCTCTTATTATTCTTAGGAATGCCAAGGTACCTGTCCTTTTGTGAGCTGGTGTAAAGTACTCTTGTAAATGTAATGCCTACATCCAGTATCAGTTGAGACTCTGGAGAAGCTTATCTGTTATGTTTTTCTCTCCTTGGTCCCATCAGAGAAGCTCTGTAGCCCCTTCTCCTCTCTCCTTCACAGACACTGCCGACCTGCAAGTCTTTTAGCTATTGATGTATTGTGAGAACTTTTTCCCTGGGATGGGGAGGACTAGCTATATCTACTGCTCTGCCTACCCTATAAGGTCCCAGTGGGAAATCAAAGATCCCATCGAAGTTTTCCCTGGGGAAGCAGTGTTTATTAGACTTACAGAGTTAAGTGAGGGGCTACTGGCGGGTGTGGGTGATCCTAAAGCAGTCACGCTGGAAAGTTAGCATGGAGAGAGCTCCCTTCATCCAGTCTTCCCCAACAGTAACTATTCCAGCCCCTCCCTGAGAGCCCTGAGGCTGACCTGTGCATAGGACATAATATTGTGTGAATGTCTGAGAGTCATGACTAGATGCTCAGGTGAGGGTCTGCAAGTAAGCATGGTGAGCTGAAGAGGATGCTGTGCTGTAAGTGTCTGGGGATTTCAACATTGCTTTTAGTTGTTCTATCTTTCTGTGGCAATTGGAGAAGAGCCAAAAAGCCTGCTGTGTCACCTCCAGCTCTCAACCCACCAGCTGTCGCCTGTGAACTCTTGATAACATCTTTCCCTTTGTGTGAGAGGGTAAAGTTCATGTCTTGTCATTTCCTCTCCACCATCTTTCTCTGCTCACACCATTGCCTGTCCTCAGGTGATCAGTATGCACTGAAGATGCGGTTTGTGGACCACGTGTTTGATGAGCAAGTGATAGATTCTCTGACAGTGAAGATCATCTTGCCTGAGGGAGCCAAGTAAGAGACTGTTCCTTTCCTCTGCACCCCATTTCTCTGATAGTGCCTGGTGTCTGATGAGGGACCTGTGTTCTAGGGGTGTAGTGTAGGTACTCATTAAATAGCTTTGACTGAGAAGCCTTTCTGTGGAACTTTTGACTAAAGCTAGGAAAGGAAAGTTCGATTCAAAGGAGGCCACATGGTTTAGTTAGGAAACTTTCCAAAAGCACAGTGTCTCCATATGCCTGGAGCAGAAGCCAGAGCCGCCTCAATAAACCAGAGTAGTGGCCTGAGTCTAATGCCAGGAGGAATGTGGAGGGCACTGCAGAGGTCCACACCTGTAATCACAGGACTTGGAGCCTGGAGGCTCTTGAGTTGGAGCCAAGCCTGGTCTACATTCCAGGCCAACCTGGGCTACATGTAGAAGTACCTGTTTAATAAGAAAAGATTGGTAGACTTTGCTACCAGGAGTGACTGAGTGGAGCAGCTGTGGTACCATTTCCTAGGCCTGTCTCAGTGTCTTTGGTAACAGACGGGAATCATTTTTGCTTAGTTTGAGCAGCTTGCGAAAGAGATGTTGATCAAATGAGAGTTTAACTTAAAGAGCCAGGTGTTGGAAGGAAGGTGCAGAGGCAAGGACTGGAACCATGTAACTCACTGGGAGGCCCTGGGTTCAAGCTCAGTACTGCTGGTGTGTGTGCAGGGAACCTTCGTGGTGTCTGGAGGACATTGGTGGGAGCAGATGGGCTACAGGGCTCCTGTCCTTAGCAAGAGCTGCTTATAGTTTTGTGTTACTTACCAGGTTTCTTGTCACAGGGTTTGAATGGTCTCTGTTGGTTTATATATCTACTCCGGTGACCAGGATGACATGTGCTTTGACTGGTCCATGGAGGAGGGGTTGTTCTTTCAAGCCAAACGACTGTGTTACTATCTAGGGACTGTAGGCCTGGCCTACAGAAAGTGATACACATGCTGTAGTCCTAACAGAGACTCTGATTCATGTGAGGAGGGAGCATTCAAAATAGCTCCCAAGGCAACTCTCTAGGTCCCTAGGAGACACTCTGGGTGGGCTGTGCTGGGCAACTGTGCTCACTCTGCAAACCCAACCTTATGAGTGCTGGGGGAGACTGTCTCGTCTTCAGTTTTCAGACAGTGAGTTAGCAGTGGGAGGGGAGATACCTCTGGTGGGCAGGATAGCGCAGTGTGAACTTGGCCTCCTGATAACTCTTATTCTTACAATTCTGCAGCCCCATACCCTCAGCTGTGTCTGTGTATTCCAGGAACATCCAGGTAGACAGTCCCTATGACATTAGCCGTGCCGCAGATGAGCTTCACTACACCTACCTAGACACATTCGGCCGCCCGGTGATTGTTGCCTACAAGAAAAATCTGGTTGAACAGCACATTCAAGACATTGTTGTGAGTAACTGTGCTTGCTGTTCGTTGTTGGTACTGCCAAAAGCAGTGGTGTTAGGCTATGGATCTGAGCTGGTCTTCCCTGATACCTTTTTCCCGGCTCCTCCAGGTGCACTACACCTTCAACAAGGTGCTCATGCTGCAGGAGCCCCTGCTGGTCGTGGCTGCCTTCTACATTTTGTTCTTCACCGTCATCGTCTACGTCCGTCTGGACTTTTCCATCACCAAGGTACTTGTTCTCTTCCTTGTCAGACAGCCCTTGTGCCCTGCAAATGTGTCACATACATCTCCCAAAGAGCTAGATAGGCCCTTGTGGCTGACTGTAATCCCCTACATTTTTTTGGCCTCTGCTAATTCTCCCTAGAGAGATTTCTTCCCCCTATAGTGGTAGTGTGAAACCCAGAGCAACAGGCGTGCCAGGCGGCCACTGAGCTGCTCCATAGCCTTCTGCATTGTATCTAAGAATGTGATCAGAAGCTCACCATGGTAAGTCCCTGCTTTCTGCCTTGTTTTGGTTGTGGAAACAACCTAGACACTAGGTGAGGTAGGAGGATCATTGAATGGCAATTCTGCCTTGTCCTCCCTTTTTGCCATATAGGAAATTAATTTCATCTACTGCTACTAGCCACTCTGATTTTGTGGTTCTAAAAAAAAAAAGGGTAGATAATTTTTTATTCTTCTCTTATATAATGTATTTCCCCCCCCCCCCCATCAACTTCTCCCTTTCCCTTCAGAAAAGAATAGCCCTTTCAGGGATATGATCCAAACATGGCATAACAAGATGCAGTGAGACTAGGCACAAACCCTCATTAAAGCTGAGTGAGGCAACCAGTAGGAGGAAAAGGGTCCCAAGAGCAGGTAAAAGAGTCAGAGACACCTCCACTCTCACTGTTAGAAGTCTCATAAGAACACCAAGCTAACAACCATAACATATGCAGAGGACCTAGTGTAGACCCTTGCAGGCTCTGTGATTGCCACTTCAGTCTCTGTGAGCCCATATGAGCTCTGCTAAGTTGATTCTGTGGGCCATGTTTTCCTGGTATCTTCGACCCCTCTCTTTCCTAAAATTCTTCCCTCTTCCTCATCGTTTCCTGGAGCTCCAAAGGAGAGGGACCCAACAGAGATCTCTAATTTGGGCTCTCTCTCCACCTAATGTTTGACTGAGGGTCTAGACAGATACTTTTTATTGTCTTCTTACTCTGTAGGGACTGAAATATTTTTGTACTTAGCATTGTCCATCTGTCGGGCATGTTCTGGAGTCCTGTCAGTTCACAGAGCTTGATCGCTTGCACGTCTGCAGATAGACACTGAGTGATCAGTCATTGCTTGCTGTGCCTGCATCTACCTCATGTTCCGTCCTAAGGATTTATTATGTAAAGGTGACTTGTGTCCACCGGACCTAAGCCAGCCTCTGAGTTGTGGGGCAGGCCTTGCCAGTGGATGCACAGTGAGAGGATCTGGAGAGGGATGGTTAATGGAGAGAGTTCACCTTCTTTCTTGAAGTTCCTGAAACCCTATGAAGGGGTGAGACGTGGTGGTCTCCCCAAAGTCTTTCACAGCTAGAGATGAGGTCTTGCTGTGCCAGTTTCGTGGCACATTCTACCATTACTGTCCTGATCACGGCTGTGTGCCTGTGGAACTGTAAAGTAGTGTTTGCTTCATCTTGATGTCTCCTTCAGCCTTTGTAGTAGAGCCTGGTCCTCTTAAGTGACAGAAGGGTTTGACTCCGGCTTCCTAAGGTGACCGCTATTGGCTGGTGGCAGTAGACATCTATGGTAGATAAGTCAGAGTAAGCACCCGCCTATCTGCTGACAGATGTGGTCTCTCTGCCCTCCAGGATCCAGCTGCAGAAGCCAGGATGAAAGTGGCCTGTATCACAGAGCAGGTATTGACCCTGGTCAACAAGAGGTTAGGCCTCTACCGTCACTTTGACGAGACCATCAATAAGTACAAGCAGTCCCGGGATGTCTCTGCCCTCAATAGTGGCAAGAAGAGTCTGGAGACAGAGCACAAAGCTGTGACCAGTGAGATTGCTGTGCTGCAGTCCAGGCTGAAGACGGAAGGCTCTGACCTGTGTGACAGAGTAAGTATTAGTGTTGTGAACCATTTGTCTGCGGCCCTACACACCCCCCTTCAGGGACTTTTTCTGCTTGTTGAAAGCAGCACCCATTCTGCTCCTTGGACTGGGCTCGGCTCCAGGAGGCCTAAGATACTCACATGTGCAGGACCATGGGCTCTTCAAGTGGTGTCAGTGCTTGTGGTGGGATACGAAACTTTGCAGCATCTGTAGCTATGTGACTGGCAGTGAGGGCAGTGTTCCTCCCTCCAGATGCCAATCTTTAGCTCCAAGTGGCCGTGCCTGTAATCCCAGCACTCTGGAAGTGTGTGTATATGTGTAGAGGCATGTATGTTCAGATGAAGTCCAGACAGGCTACACAATGGAATCAAGGCAAATTCTGGCCAGAGGGTGAGATTTTGAAAAAGGGGGTGAGGGGAGGCACCCAGACCTAAACCACTGGCTCTGACCCAGACTTAATTTCTTTTTTTTTTAAAGGTGTGTGCCACCACTGCTTGGCTCACCAACCTTGTTTTTTTTTTTTTGTTTTAACAGATTTATTTATTTATTATGTATACAGTATTATGTCTGCTTGCAGGCCAGAAGAGGGCACCAGATCTCATTACAGATGGTTGTGAGCCACCATGTGGTTGCTGGGAACTGAACTCAGGACCTTTGGAAGAGCAGGCAGTGCTCTTAACCTCTGAGCCATCTCTCCAGCCCCCCAGACTTTCTAAACTTGGTCAGATTACCAAATTTCTGTGTCTGTGTGTCCTTTTGGGTAATGGGAAGTCAGTAGTCTTTCACGGTACCTGAAAGTGGTTTGTGTCAGTGTTTAGAGCCCCGACAGTCATGTACTGTGCGAGCCAGCTATTATTATCTGTAAGGGAAGTATTACCTACTTTAAAAAGTGTCCCTCAGAGTTCTTAGGCTCCCTGTTAGCACCTCCACCCCCCCTTCAGTCTCTTACTAACCCTAGTTCCTTTGTAGCGCCCACCATGAAGCACTTCTTCATGTGCTTCCATGAGTTCTGTGTGTCAGCTGACGTCAGGTCCCATTAGAGAGAGGGCACACTTAGGAAGTCTGTGTGCAGTCATCTTGCTGGGGTGTGGGCAGAGTTTTCATTGGGACTGCGATCAGCTCTGTTCCCAGCTGTTTTCCAATAACCTCTCAGAGACTTAATATTAATTATAAATGCTCGGTCGATAGCTCAAGGCTTATTGCTAACTAGCTCTTACAACTTAAATTAACCCATTTGTGTTCATTTCTGCCATGTAGCGTTACCTCTTTCATCTTGCACCTTCTGTTTCTTCTCCTGACTCTGCCCCTCTTGTCAATGCCCTTAGTCTGGGTCTCTCATCTAACCTTATTCTGTCCGGCTTCTTTACTAAACCAGTCACAGCAACATACATTCACATAGAGTAGAGGAATATTCCAAACTGGGGTCCCATGGTTTTCACCAGGTGTCAGGGTAGAAAGCAGCTTGCTCGTCAGAGCTGACAAGAACATGACCTGTAGGTGATGAAGCTACTGTTTGAAGCCAGGCTTGTTTTCTTGCGTGCCAGCCCTCTACCATGGACACTGCTTTTTGCTGAATTTTTGACTGTTCATGTGGGGCTCTGGATCTGTGGGCCTGGGAATCGATGGGGCTTGTTGAGTAGGGTGAGAGGGTGGTTTTCAAACCCTTCCCTACTCTGTCTCTGCCAGGTGAGCGAGATGCAAAAGTTGGATGCGCAGGTCAAGGAGCTGGTGCTGAAGTCGGCAGTGGAAGCAGAGAGGCTGGTGGCTGGCAAGCTCAAGAAGGATACGTACATCGAGAATGAAAAGCTCAGCTCGGGAAAACGCCAGGAGCTGGTCACCAAGATTGATCACATCCTGGATGCTCTGTAGCTCATGTCTCCAGGGCAGGCCCAAGTTGCCTACAACTCAGATGCAGTCATAAGTAGAAGGAGGAGACGGTGGTTATCAAAAGACCTCAAGAAGGAAAAACCAAGGCCCTACCCACAGAGGTCTGAGAAACTTGTCCCTTATTTCTGAATGGGTCCCTTTTATAAAAAAACAAAACAAAATCCTAAACAAAAATCCTGTATAAAAACCAAATATGGTTGTGTTTTGAACAAAGGCATTTTCAGTAGTCGATTTAGTTTGTTCTGATGCCTGGGGTTTTTTCCATCCGTAAGTCCTGTTTTATGCCTTTCTAATTCCTAATGTTGGGTTCTTTTGTGAGTGTATGCATGTTTTTTTTTTTAAGTGTGTATGACCAAATGAAAATAAAGGAGGGGCTGTAAACATTTGCTGTGCTGAAATCTTGTGTGTAATTGTGGCATTTGGGGATAATACTTTTTTTTTTTTTTTTTTGGTTTTTTGAGACAGGGTTTCTCTGTATAACAGCCCTGGTTGTCCTGGAGCTCACTTTTTAGAACAGGCTGGTCAGAAGATAATACTTTTATAAATGGATTTTCTCAGAGTTCACAAGCCAAGTGTCAGAACATTGATGTTTCCTAATACAAGCCGAGAGAGACATCCCAGAGAGTCACAAAGCAGTGGTGTAGTAAGCCTTTTGTGTTCCTTAAATCTGTGTCATACATTCTGAGCACTGAAAAGGGGTGATGAGCAGAGCAGAGGTGGTTCATGGAAGGGTGACAAGCAGACACCCCCAAATTCATGATCTCAGATTGACCACACTCTGAGGAGGACACAGGCCCAGAGAACACTGTAGTCTGGGTATGTGTAGGAGGGGAAGATGGTCCAGAGCTGAGGTGACAGGATGGGGTGTTTCAGGCAGTGGCTGGTGTGTGTGAAAAGCCCTGGTTGGATATCTGTAGAATGGAGTGGATGATATCTGACCGGCCTGCCGAGGTGGGCATCCAGAACAAGATAGTGGGTGTCAAGTGGTCTGTCAAGGCTTCGGCTTTACCTTAGCATCAGGACAGACTGCCCTCTGTGAGAGCTGGGCCAGAGACCAGAGTTTGGTATGAGAAAGCCGAGAGTGTATTGTATTCATAGATGGGGCAGAGTGGGGTTTGGTGCTTTGAAGTGTGCTGGGGTATAGTCCCATCTCCACCTAGCCCTGTCAGATAGCTCAGAGGTCAGGAAGCTGTTACTGAGTCAGGCTCTCACGTCATAGGCCACTGTTGTAATGTGACCCCTGGGCTGGCAGACGGATGGTAGCCTATTGACAAGCTCACCTCTATGCTAACAGGTGTGCACACAGGAGTAGGCTGGTTACTGGGCGGGTGGTTATATGTTTCTTAAGTTGGTGAACTGAGTTGCCATTTGTCCAGCTGATGTCAGCCTGCTGGTCGTACTACATCCAGCACAGAGCTGGTTAGGAAAATGGGATAGTTGTGGTAGGAGTGCCTATGAAGAACATAGAATTAGAAGAGACCAGCCAGGTGGTGGCGGCACACACCTTTAATCCCAGCACTCTGGAGGCAGAGGCAGATGGACAGCCAAGGCTACACAGAGAAACCCTGTCTTGAAAACAACACACACAAAAGACCTAGGGCCTTTGTGGCAGTATATGTCTGTAGTGCCTGCTGTGTAGAATTCTGAGGCGGGAGGATCACTTGATTGTTTTGTTTTGTTTTGCTTTGTTTGAGACGGGGTTTCTCTGTGTACCTCTGGCTGTTGTAGAACTCACTCTGTAGATCAGGCTGACCCAGGAAGATCACTTGAGCAAAGAAATTTGAGATCAATTGGAGCAATGTGGTGAGGCCATCTTTTTTTTATTATTATTAAAGTAGTTATTGAATCTACTTTATTATTAATATCTATAAGCCAATAGTGAGCTCACTTCATTAAAGAATGAACACATTGTACAAAAATAGTATGCTTATATTACAAAAGTATATCCATCTTTTAGTGCTGAGCAAAAGTCATTGAGACAAAATCAAGACGAAGAAACTATCTTAACACCACTGAAGAGATTCCCAAGATAGTATTAGCCTCCTGAGACGGTGGACACTTAACAGAGAGGGAAGAGAGACCAGGGAATGAAGGCACAGAGCTAGCAACCAGTGAGCACACAGGTAAAGATCTTTACCACATCCAGGTAAAGATGGGAGGTCAGCGAGGTCAGCCATTTGCTTTGAGTTGGGTACAGAGATCAGCTGTACAGAGTGCTGGGTGCGGTGACCCATGCAGGACTGTAATTTCTGAATTTGGGAGGTGGGGGATGGTGCATCATCAAGCCTGGGCTACATATGAGAGCCAGTCTCCCAAACTACAAAAAAGGGAGGGAACAGGTGTGTGGTATATTTAAGATGGGAGGTCAGGAGACCTAAGGGCAGTCAAATCCAGTCCTGCCTCTCTGGCCTTGGATAAGGCTCTCTTTAAGATGGAGCAACCTACTCACAGGTTGACAGTGACTTAAGGCACTGGAATTGATTTTCTTGGGTGCTGGGCCTCAAGCCGATGTCAAGGTGATGCTTGCTCTGGGAACTGCCTGTTGTGCAGCGCAGCGCCAGCCCTGCTGAAGCCCAGGCCTCTGTCTTTTCTTAGTGTTTGGAACCTTCAGGAAACAGGCCTCGCCAGATCTCATTTGGTTTTTTTTTTGAATGTGCTCCAGTCGCCCCCTAGTGGACCTGAGGCGGAAAGGGCCACATTTGCGCACTGGCATCACTTCTCGTATTAGGGAGAGGCAGGCGCCAAGCCTGGAATGCGCAAGCGCAGTTGCTGGCCAGAGGCGAACCCCCGCGCATGCGTGTGCGCGCGTGCACTGCTACTGAATTAAGGCCTGGTTCTGTCCGGCCTTGCCTAAAGCCACCTAGTCAAGAGGTCATTTATGCAACCATGCTCCAGTATTACTTACTGCACCTGTATTTACGTAGCCCCGCTTCAGGAAGCCAAGGGCGAAGGTGATGGATTTGCAGGTGGCCTAGTGGTGGCCCTCTGGAATCTCTGGGCTGACGCAGCTTGCGCAGCTAGTTCTCTGTTGTCTCCATCTTCCTCCTGCCCTGGAGCCAAGAACCTCAGGTCATCACATCTCTGTGTCTACTTGCACCTTGGTTCCCCCAGTAGCAAGCGAAGCCTCAGTTTCTCTCTTGGAAATTTGAGAGGAGAGGAGATTTCATTTCACCAGATTTGGGCCCTTGGGCAATGCACAGCCTCACTTCAGGTCCAGGCATGGCAGGGTGCCCAGAAACCAGGCCACCACCTCAGGCCACGTGTCCCAAGGCTACATGGCCGGTGGGTCCAGCCCTGGGCAAGCCTGTCTTGGCTCAGAGCACAGCAGAGGGCTGCGGGTTCTGAGCTGCCTCCATTTGTCTTGGGGGTTGACATGGAGAAAACCCCGAAGGCCCAGTCGTCCTCACAGTTTCACCACAAGTATCCTGACCGGGTGTCTGGTGCCGAGCTGATAGTGCAGGCCCTGGCCGCAGCCCTGCCGGAAACCGCGCTGCCAGCGGTTGGGGGCTGCAGGCTGGGACAGGAAGCGCCCCGGTGCACTAGGGGCCTCTGCAGGCCTGCATTGAGACCAAGTTGGCGCCATGTTGAAGGTGGACTCCTGGGACTTAGCAGATGCTGCCCTGTTCACCAGCCTCTCGCCAGGCTGGGGAACCAGGACAGTTAACCTCCAACCCCCTGGCCCTGTCCAAGGGTCAGGAGCCCTTATCTTCTGCTATGGCCAGGCCCTTCACCGTGTCCTTCCAGCCCTCTAGCCTCAGCTTGCACGTGACCTATGTCTGGTCTAGACCTAAACCAGGGAGCCAGAAGGGTAGTACCCTAATGGGGAAAGACAGTCAACAACTCTGAGAGAATTCAGAGCGAAGCATTTCCATGTGGTGGTGTGACCAGGGAAGAGTGCAGATTCCAGTCCCTTCTTGTGACTTACACCCTGACTGTGGAGCCTAGAAGGAATGTTTTTGTTGTATTTTGGTTGTGAGCCTAGCCTTTAGCGGCTGAGCCATTTCTCCAGCCAGGAATCCTTTTCAAATGGATGTCTTAGTCTTCTTGAGCAGCTGTCACGAAACGCTGCCTGGGTGGCTTATAAACAGGACCTTACTGTGATAGTTCTGGAGAGGGCCAGGAGAGAAGTGTGGGCATTTGGTTGTGGTGAGACTCCTCTCATTCCTTGGCGGGCTTCTCACTGAGTCCTTCATGCTGCAGAAGGAAGGAGGAAGCTCTCAGGGACACTGTATAGCAGGTCACTCATCTCATTGAGGAGGGTTTTCTCCCATGCCCTAATCACCTCACGCATGCCCCCATTAGGGATTGGGCCAACATGAGTATGGGGGCACACACACACACGACTATGGCAAGAACAGGAGCCTGTGGGTGAGGAGGAGGTAACAGGGAGGGAGAGTTTAGATGCAGGAGAAAAGCGTCGAAAAAGCAGGGTGGGTGGCATTGTGAAAGGATGCTGCCAGCCAGCACGCAGGGCTAAGCTAAGCATGCCCCAGCCACCCCAGCTTTGGCATTGCTCTCTCAAGTGCACTGATGATCACATCCCCCTGGTCTGCCCTCCACTCTTAAATGGCTGAGACAGGCCAGTGTCAGTTTACTCGATATCTTTGCTTTGTGTCAGGAAGTCTTTGGCACCAAGTCTGTGTTGCTAGGCAGGACACGGCCTCCTGTGACTTGGAGGGGAGCCAGACAGTACAGAGTGAATCACTACAGGTGGTGACAGGTGACAGATACCGTGTAGGAAATGACCGGTGGGACTATGAGCAGATCTGGTCTGAAGGTTGAGAGCCATCCTTGGCACACAGAGTATGCCCCTGCCTCCTACTGCCCTTTCTCCTGGTCTCTCTACTACACAACCATCCAGGCCTCTGGTGGCAGCAGAACCTCTTGCCTTGGAATCAACTTCCCAGCATGCCTCCTTCCTCTTAGCACCCGGCTTCCTCTCCAGGGCACGACTCCTGGAACCAACTTTTTTAGCCTTTGTGGCTATACCTGACGGGCTTCTGGGGCCACCCTCTCATTGGAGACTTGTGTTTGCTGTTCTTTGAATTCTGAATTGTCATCAGGAGAACAGGGACTGAATGACGGAAGGCCTGGAAGGGCTCTATGACTTGGCATCTGTGAGGCCCAGCACAGACCCCCAGTACAGGGGTCTGCCCTCCACAGCAGCAGGGGCAACCACAGCCAGGAAGCTATACTGAGTGACAGTGTTTATGGAGTACTTTATCAATCTGCATGCCTCTGATGCCAGCAGCAGGTAAGGTAGAGGTGTCAGCCAGGATGTCACTCCTACTGAGTCCCCAGACCTGGGCCACAAACTCTATAGCCAACAGGTACACAGCCCAGGGCAGGTCGGTCTCTCTCTCTCTCTCTTTCTGTCTCTCCCTCC